GCTCCAGCCGCTGCTGGTCAGTTTCAGCAGTGGCTGAATCAGGATGCCTGGGGCAGAGCAGCTGGGGTGCTGCTGGGTCGGTCCAGTAGCGCCAAGGAGCGGTGCTGTGGGACCAACCGGCAGCGCCCCACCTGCTCTACCACAGGCCCCGGGCTTTGCTCCACGTCTCCCTGGCCTGCTGGGGGTGGGGGGGGACACTAGCTGCATCCCCCCCAGCAGACCAGGAGACGCGGAGCAAAGCTGCGGAGGACCTGGGCTGGACCCGCGGCGCTTCCAGATCAGCGCCGCGGGTCCGGCCCGGGTCCTCCGCCGCTTTGCTCCCTGTCTCCCTGGTCTGCTGGCTCCCCCAGCAGACCAGGGAGACGGGGAGCAGCTTTTCTCACCCCGGAGGAGGCGGGCGGCGGGACCAGGCGTCCCGCCACTCCAGTCCTCCGGGGCGAGAAAATCCCCGTTCGTAACTGCGGATCCGACGTAAGTCGGATCCACGTAACTCGGGGACTGCCTGTACTAAGAATAGGTGCCGGTGACCGGGGGCGGATGAGAGTGCCGCGGGGCCCAGGGCAGCGCTGCGGGGCCCCGGGCAGCAGAATGTCGCAGGGGCCCCCCTTTTACACAGCGCATGTGCCATGGTGCCAAGGCGCATGCGCGGGGCCTTGGGAAGCGCGGGGCCCGGGGCAGCCACCCCGCTCACCCTGCCCTAAATCCGCCGCTGCCGTTGACAATGGACGCAGCTCAGTCAGTGATGGGTCTTTCTACTGCGCCCTAGGCTGGACAAGGACAGCTCCTCTGATACATTTTTATACAGAAATACAAACAAGTTACGCATCACTCATGAGGTACCAGGGTGCCATCTTGTGACAAACCTGGATGCTGCCTATTACCTTATACATATCGGTTCAATGAAAATATCACTATTCATCTGTATATTCCTGTTTTCTGTGGGGAGCAGGTTAGTACCAAGATATTTCCTAATAAGATGTTCTGGTACTACCCTTCTGGAGTGTGTTCACAACTTGTGCCTAGTATCTCTTAGATTCTGAGAGCAGGGACTGCCTTTTGCTCACGGTTCAACTATATATTGTCAAAGACTTGATTGCTTTTGGCTAGGCCTCAGGCCTACACCAGGCCTGTGATACATGATGGGCTTATGTTTTAGACCCTCTTCTTACTACATTAGCCTTTACAGCATCCCCTGTCAACAAATTCCACTGGTTGACTGTGTTTTGTGTGAAGTAGTACTGTTCTTTCCTTTTGTTTGTTTTAAACCTGCTGACTGTTCATTTCATTTGCTCGCCTCCAATTCTTGTGTTATGCAAAGAAATAACTCGCACTTCCTTATTCACTTTCTCTATGCCAATCATGATTTTATAGACCTCTGTCATATCCCTCTCTACTATCTCTCCTTCAAGATGAATCGTTCCAATCTTTTTAATCACACCTCACATGAGAGCTGTTCCATACCCTTAATCATTTCTGTTGGCCTTCTTGCTACCTCATCCAATTCTAATATATCTTTTTTTGAGCTGGGCCAACTAGAACTTCATGGAGTTGTCAAGGTGTGGGTGTACCAGGGATTTATAAAATGGCATTATTATATTTACTGTGTTAACAATCCCTTTCCTCATGGTTCCTAACATTCTCAACAGTTGCTGAATATTTAGCAGATAATTTCAGAGAACCTATCCATAGTGACTCCAAGATATTTCTTGAGTGATAACAGCTCATGTAGACCCTCTAATTTTGCATGTATAGTTAGGATTATGTTTTTCCATGTGCACTGTTTTGCACTTATCGGCATTGAATTTTACCTGCCATTTTGTTGCCTACTTATCCAGTGATGTGAGATCATTTTGGCTCATGTGGCTTTACGTTTTTCAGAACTTTTCTGGTGACCTTAATCAAAGTATGTGTTTTGTCAAAGATAAAATTACTTTGCTAGCTAGTTTGGTTTCCTGATGTTTACAGAGAGAATTTTAGAACTTTGCAAAATGTTTATTGCTAAACCATGCAAAATTCAACTGGATTTGGATTTCCTTACAGACAATGCTCACACAGATTGGTCAAAAAAATTACTAAGATTTGTGCACTTTTCAAGCAAAGCTGGGCTAATTGTGGTTTTTCATCAGAACTGTGCACACATTGTTTTTGAAGGGAAGAGACATTGCCAGTATTTGACATAAACCGAGTGAAACTTGCCACAAAGATTTTTCCCAAAGTTAACATGATATCCATCTGGACTGAGTTCAAACAAAATATTTGCACAGAGCCGATCCTCTGAATCTGCTGAGCTTTTTAACGACACCACAGATGCAGTTTAGAATGCTGTGAAGCCCTGATTCATTGCAAATGGATGGTGGTTTGGGGGGGAAAGCAGAACTAAGAATGTGGAGGTGGAGAAAGGCAGTTGGATGGGAGTTCTGCAAGACAGGACCTGTTGGTATGTTTAGTTTGTGGGAGGCATGATTTTTTTCCCCCTAGCAATCAGAGATTTGAGGATATATTCTCCAGGGGTTCTTAACTGAGCCAAACTAAAATTAATGGAATCTTTTGCTCAATTTACAAACTGCACGGCTTTGCTGTTATATCCTGTTTTATGGCTAACAATGCATGTTAACCGATTTTTGATGTATGAATATATTAAGTAGTTTAAATTTGTCGGGTACCCAGGTGCACTTTTAATCTCAGTTTGTGTTCAGCTTCTAATAATAAAACTTTACACTTTTAAAAAGTAGAAATAGAATTTGAAAAACATTTTCAATGTGTTAATCCCAACAACATAGAGCTTTCAGCCAAAGCAGTGAGTGAGTCGTTTTGTTTGTTTGCTTTCTTGTTTGTGTCATTGTATTGCTAATGGAGATGATGGGCTAGTAAAATTGGGTAGGATTGGATGGCCTATTTTTACTTTCCAATCATCTCCAGATGAAAAAAAAATCTTTCACCTGAAAGAGAGAGCCACTTCCAGGGCATGGGTCACAGTCACAGGGAGACCAGAGCCAATAAGAGGACATAAATGCCTGCTGTGCCTCCTGAAGGTCTCCAAGAGCCAGGAAGTCTATGGTTATCTCTGTTTCATCTACGATGGGACAGTGCCCCATAGCACATGTATGTTTGTGGTGATCTGTCTGTAATTGCAGGACTTAGGACCTGTCTCATTTTGGGTTTTTTGTTTGTTTGTTTGTTTGTTTTTTCATTTTGCAGCATTCTCCATCAAATGTTAACATTCATACTCATCATATGAATGTATTATATAAAATGTATGAATTTTTTGCCCTGTGTGATGTAGTGTAATTTTTATGCAATTAGTAGTGGATCCATAGATAAGAAAAGAATGGTAATATCCCACTGGGCACTTGCCAAGTTTCTAAATACATAACCATGGCCATAAACTCTGTTGAAATCAGTAACAACATTTCTGTTTATGAAGTGGATAAGATTGTAAATAGATATCTGTAAATTGAAATTGCATGGGGAATACCTCTTTCACCTCTGTAATACAACTGCAAATGATATTGTATTAGTTATCATATAAATATTTTATGACTCCCACTAAAATACCTGCCTCAGAATCTGTGTCATTGAGTTCATCCTCAGGTTAACAATGTAGTGTGTATGTGTACGTGAGAGAGCGAAAACACCATTTGTTTACAGTTTCAACTCAATTCCGTAAATAATTCCAAGTTTAAGAGCTTCATGTGGTTTTGTATTGCATATTTCACACAGAGCTCTGCATCACTGCTGGTGCACAGTGTGGTTATCAGTACAACATCTAGGGTTTGCTCTTTTTGCCCAGATTAGTTACTACTTAGCCGGGATATCATTTCATATTATTAGTTTTAATATTTGTGTTCAACCAGAGAAAAATCAGTAACAGATTTTAAAAATAACACATTCATTGACTTTTCTTCTTAATGTAGCTCACTATATTCATTTTCTTCCAGGCTGTGCTGAGTCCTCTTATAGCCATTGCATTGAAAATATCTCAGATCCATGAGAAGACAGGGCGGAAGGGACCCACTGTCATCACCTGAATCTACAGAGGATCATTAACCCAGGGCCAAGAGAGAGAGGGCAAGGAAGAGAGATGACCTTGCTGAAACTTGTTAGCTGTTTGTGCCTTTAAAAGATTGTGGGGGTGGGAAGAAAAATTCAGTATAATATTGATCATATTCTGTTGCATTAATTGCCAGAGATAATAGTGTATGGACTTCTGTGTTATAACCACAATATCTTTTTGTTAAAAACAAAACCCAAAGAAAAAGCCCTCAACCTTTGAGTGTTGCAAAATGCCAGTGTGACAGAAAGGCCAACCTTTGTTTGTTTGTTTTTTACCTTTGAAGTGTTAGGACAAAGTAAGAATTTTGAACTTGGGAAGGAGCGGGAAATGGACTACAATGCAACCATGGATTGTGGTGAACACAATTGGTGGTTCTTGTCAGCTTCTTATTTGTTTAGAGAAAAGGCATCTGTATGTCTAGGTTACAGGGGCAGTATATCAGTCTTTGCAAAGTTTGCATTTGCATACTCCATTTGTTCCTTTCCTATCAACAGCCTTGGCTCATTGAGCCCACGGCCACAGAAGAACTGTGCGCACACATACTCACACTGCCAATGAAAGATGCCAGTGCTTGCTTTTTTTTTCTTCTTCTTCTTTAAAAATGTAGTGACTCGTGTCTCTCTCTCTCTCTCTCTCTAGGTTTCAATGAATTTGACCCTTCTTTTTTTAAAGGAGGGTAATTATTTTTATCAGAACCAAAATGTATTTAATTGTCATGGGGGCAACAGTTGCCTTTTGCAATATTCCTCAAGTTCATAAACACGTCCTGCTGGTCCTTTCTGGGCGTGGAGGGTAACTGTTGCAAGTTCAGCATATCTTCCATAAATGCATTACCATGGAAAGATTTTTAAATCTGTCTCTTGGGATACATGCCTATGTTCCCCTTGTCAGGAATGGGTGTAAGAGGGATGAATTAATGAAATACTTGGCTGATGCACTAGGTGGCTCAGACTCTATTAGATTATTTAAAGTAGAGATCATATAAAGGCCCAGAATGTGGAAAGGGAGTAGAAAGAACTTGGCATGAACCAGAGCAGTATATGTACACGTGTGGTTTTTTGCTTGTGAAATGCTACTGCAGCTCTAGCTATGGTTCATTGCTTTGTACTGAACGGGAACACAAACACTTTGTGCATGTGACTTGTTTGAATGTTTTGCTTCCTTGGGAACAGAGTGGGGTCACTTGACATATCATTTGTTGAGTTGGCTTTGTGCAGTTTGACACTTTGCAGTGTGTACGATTCATATTGCAGCCCATCAATGTTTCCATGCAATTTAGCTAATATTGCAGTGAAGGAAATTGCTTTGGTTTCTTTTGACACTTCTGTCAAAAAGTGCTATGACATTTAGTATCTAATAAAGTGGATTGCCACATTTCTGTCTTAATACCTAATTGTTGACAAAACACATTGCGCTTTCATCCATTCTAATAAAATTGCCTTTAGTAGAATTACATTATCTATTTAATTGATTCTAAATAAATATGACACTGATGTTTCCACACAATATTTTACTACAGTATTATTTAGTGTTTGTATCTGTCAAAAGAGATTCCACAGCTTGAATGTATTTTATAAAGGATTGTGGAAAGCATCAGAAGGTCGGTCCCCTGCATCATCATCTCAGTTTGGGTGTCCAAATTTAAATATACTCTTCTTTAAAAAGAGCATGTTTTTCTAGACTTAACCTACAGTACTTCATCTAGGGCAGACTCCTCCACTGGTGTCTTACATTAGGCATGTCAAACTGGCGTTTGGAGGGCCACATGTGGCCCGATCGAAATTTTTTGCGGCCCGCCCGAACATTTTTATAAGAGAATGAAGTGAGGCCCACTGGCCGCTCGGAGCACGTGGCCGAGTGTCTGCTCACGGCTGGACGGGCCACTCTGTGCCTCAGCAACTGCTCACGGCTGGCCAGGCTGCTCTGCACACTTGCTCATGGCCGGCTGGGTGCTCCAGCAGGCGCTCCCAGCTGGCCGCTGTACTCACACTGCCCCAGTGCCTCAGGCAGCAACGTCGACTCCTAGACCCAGGTATTAGGTTGGGGGGGGCTGGGTGAACTTCGCTCTGGGGGAGGGGGAAGGCATTAGGTTGGGAGTGTCTGGCTATAGGGGGAGAAGGAGGCATTAGGTTCGGGGGGGCTGGGAGAGTCTGGCTCTGGGGGAAGGAGGAGGCATTAGGTTGGGGAGGCCTGGCTCTGGGGGAGGAGGGAGGCTTTAGGTTCGGGGAGGCTCTGGGGGAATTGGAGGGGTATTCGATTAGAACGGGGGTATGGGAGTGCCTGGCTCTGGGGGGAGAAAGGGGTTATTTTGTTAATATTTTGTTGTGATTTTTATTTGGAAATAAATAAACAAACAACACGTATATTAATTTTATGTCAATAAATGTCAGTTTTTTGCAATTGCATGAATAATTATATCTTTATGCAAAATCTCAAACTTACAAAGTATCTGAAATTTTCACAGAAGCCTGTTCTACTTGATTAACTATGGTCTATACTTGTTTTATTTCAACAAAACAAGTTATGTATCATATACAAAAATTAAAAGTATCTTAAATTTATATTTAAATTAAACATGATGTAAAATTAATTTAAAAATTATTTAATATGAGCAAATAATTTTACACATCAAATTATTGTAATATTATAAAATATACCTAAAACGATATCATAAATAACTACGACTTTCCGACAAAGTATATTTTCTTTGGTGGCCCTAGGGTTGCCAAGTGTTCAGTATTGGTGCCTTCTGCCTGGCAATGCTTTTTTGGGGAACCCTAGGTGGCCTTGAAAGCTATCCGTTTTCATTTGTGCAGCTCTCAGTAGGCTTTGAGTTTGACATGCCTGTTTTAGATCATCCAAATTTGTGTACCTGTGTGGATTTGGCTTAGACTGCAAGAGAAATATCCCTTCAAAATGCTAAGCCGCTCAGCTGATACGATTTTAGCAAATCCTCCTGAAAATGGACCACCCAAGAATGTGAAAAATTCTCATCACCTGATCACCTGGCAAAGGTGAGTTTGAATACCAGTGTAGGTTTCCCATGCTTTAGCCCCATGGTCACCAACCAGATGATCGCGATCTACCGGTAGATCTCAGGGGCTCCAAGAGTAGCTCTTGAGCCCTCTCTGAACTGCGCACCTGCACAGTGCATTTACATTAGATTTCCTCATGTAATGTAGACGGGGCTTCAAGGAAGGGGCGGGGCGGTAGATCTTCGCCTGTTCTGAGACTTAAAAACTGATCTTGGGTGTAAAAAGGTTGGAGACCACTGCTTTAACCTCTAGAGACTGGGATTACTGATTGATAATGTACTGTGACACCTGCTTTGAATAAGACAGGGAAAAGACACATACTAAACAGCCACTGATTGTATCCTGAAAATATTCCAGCCAGACTTTTCTGTTTGCAGACAGGTATGACAACATTAGCCACAGTAAATGGCAGTCAGGGTTTAAGAAACATAAAGCAGAATTGGATAGGTCTCCGGAGGTAAGTACTAGGCCTACTGTGCACTGTGTTACACTAGTAATAGAGTTGCACTTGAAAAGAGGATGATCTGTGTGTGATTTTGCAAAACTTGTAAAACTTTTACAAGCAGCTTTTCTGAAAAAACTTGCCAGCTGTCTACACTGGCCACTTGAATTTCCGGAAAAGCACTGACAAGCTCATGTAAAATCATCAGTGCTTTTCCGGAAAAACTATGCTGCTCCTGTTCGGGCAAAAGTCTTTTTCCGAAAGACTTTTGTGCAAAAGGGCCAGTGTAGACAGCATAGTACTGTTTTCCGCAAAAAAGCCCCAATCGTGAAAAAGGCCATCGGGGCTTTTTTGCAGAAAACCACGTCTAGATTGGCCACGGACGCTTTTCCACAAAAAGTGCTTTTGCGGAAAAGCATCCTGCCAATCTAGACACGCTTTTCCGAAAATGCTTTTAACGGAAAACTTTTCAGTTAAAAGCATTTTTGGAAATTCATGGCAATGTAGACGTAGCCTATAGTGTTTTTATCCTGTCATTGTTTTCTTTTGAATTTGTGTATACCCTTACTCTATAGCTTTCCTTCTTTAACTCCACCTCTTTTACTGTCATTGCCTGTCTAATTATTTCCATTTTTAACTTTGTTTTTCTTTTCCCTCTCCCTTCTGTCTGGGCACACCGTCTATCCCTCCCTACTGCTTCTATTCCCCAAGGAAAATATGTCCCATCTCCCATTCACATTCTCTATTATCCTTCTTTTCCCACCAAAGGAAAGAGGTTTCAAGAGGTTATATTCCAAATTGGGATATAATCCTCAAGGAGGAAAAACTGATTTTGCAGTTGATTTTCTCCATGTTTTGGGTTCCTACAGTGATTTGCAGACAGACTGTGCTTGCCGCCTCTGATCTGTGAGTGTAAAGAAAGTTTGATAAAGCATCTCATTCTGCTCATGTTGTCATAAAGCACAAAACTTCAGTTGAACTTAGGGGTGCAGGCTCAGTCTCAAATAGAGCCCAGCTTCTTTGGCATAGAGTTTGTGAGCAACGCAATGGGAGTGGCTAACCTTATAGCTACGAAGACAATGCCTAGAGGAATGACTTGCAGAAGGCTTCTTTCTGCATTAAAACAATCCGTGTTATTCTTTCAGAAGCTGTGCTTTGAAACTGAGGTCCCCTCATTAGTGTGCAGCAACCAGTAAGCTCAGACAGGGTGTTTGTTGTCTGCCCAACTGAAAGCCTGGAAACCTCATTTCTAGTTCAGACTGTTTGAAAAAATGTATTGACATGAACAGATGGATTTAATGCAATATTAAAATATCAGCTATTAAATACACAAAGTAAAGCAGTTTGCTCCAAACACTCATGGCAGAAAAATTCTCAACTGTTACAAACAACAGCACATAAAACCCCAGCTATTAGCTAATGGAGTAATAGGTCTTCCAGATCAGCAAATATTAATAAAAAAACAGATGGAGACTTGCACCGAAAACAAGATGAGAAAGAGATTTAAATTAATAAATAGAGGCGCATTAAGTAGCAACACTAACATTTTCTTTCCAGTGTAAAAAGTGATCACTTTGTTATAACTGGTAGCCAGCGTATCAAGGTAGAGTACAGTCATTAACATCTCTAGGAAGTTTTTGCTCAAGATCTTGGTGGGCTGATGTGAGCAAATACTATCTATGAAAAGGATATTAACCAGTCTCTCTCACACCCAGTCATGTTCTCTATTGTCCTTCTTTTCCCACCAAAAGAGAGATTTCAAGAGGTTATATTCCAAATCAGGAATATATGGAAAAAATCCTTGGTATGGGAAAAATCTTTCATAAACCGATCATCTAGAGATATTGAACAGAGTACAATGAATGACTTTGGTACTGACTTTTCTCCGCGGGAACAATAAAATAGTGAAATATTGAAATGTGAAAACAAGCTCCTCTGATGTTGGCTTGAGCCACCAATTATGGGTCGTACTATCAGTAGCAAACTCTTTAAAGGACAGAGAATGCTGTTCTTGTTTTAAAATACTAAGAACCTCTTCAAATAACCTCTCTAGTGCCACATGAATGCATTGTGGTCAGTAATGTGCCCAGGCAACTGTTGCACTGGTAGTATAATGCAGTGGCATTATATAGCACTGTCCCATGTCTTTTCCAATGCCTCTTCACACGGTCAGTGACTTATCTTCTGACTTTGAAGGAGCAAAGCATGTCAGTCAGTCCGAGACAAAGTCTCTTCACAGTTCATATTATTAGCAGTTGACTCCTGGGACGGGTGCATGCAAGTGTCCGAAACTTCTTTATTTGAATCATGCTCGGCTGTTGGCTGGTGCCGCACAGATGCTTCATATGATGGTGGCTTTTCTTCCTGAAGGCCAGTTTCGTCTATGAATTCCATACAGCTTTCAGTGTACAGAGGTGGAGGGGTGTTATAAATCTCTTCCTCTCTTGCTGAAAGGGAGACTGGTATTGGGAAAGTCTGCTTTCCCCGGTCTGTGCTATCTTCATAGCATGGAGGGTAGAAATCAGGCCTGAAAAATAATCACAAGGAAAAGATTAACTGGTTGGAAGAGACCTATATGGTTAGAGGTGTTTGCTTTTGGCACGTTGTCACAATTTATCAGAGTTTTAAAATACAAACTGCAGTCATGACATTTGACTATGAAGGAACAGATCAGCTGAAAACATATGAAAGGGATTTCCTGATCTAGTATCTTGTGACTTTCCCAAAATTGTGCCATTAAAATAATTTGAAATATCAGCCTCAAAAGTGCATTTAATAGTCAGGAAACCTTGTCAATCAATCAAATATCACCCTCTGATTGTCTATAGTACAGCAGTTGCTCTAAAGAGCACTTGGATTTGAGAAGAAAGTATGTTTCCTATCAACGTTGATTACATGGTGTTTATTTTCCACTCTCCACAAATTTTTAAGAGCTATCCCTATTGTCCTGGTCATCTCACCAGGGCTTGCTATGTGATGTATTTATAGAGCTGTTTCAGCACCTATTGTCAGTGTTTATGGTGGTGTTACCACAACAGACTGCAAGAGTCATTTGTATCCAAAGATGCTGTACAAACTTTGCCAGGCCGAGGGCCAACAAAGAAGCTGTCTATTGCAGATCATCAGACTTCACTCCGAAATAGCAGGGATATAGACACAGAAAGCTCCAGCATAGACCATGTGGGAAATAGTGAATCATTCCAACGCTTGGCCTCCCTGAAAAAGATTCTGCCAAGGAACAATACCAAAAAACTGGCACAGCCACTGATGAGTTGTCTATTATGGTGATACAAATGAGACAGCTGTGCTTCTGGAGCAATTCCACTGACGCCAGTGGAGTTGTGCCTTCTTTCCTCACGAATGTGGCCCAGTATGGGTAACAATTAAGAATAGTTTCTCAGGACTATCCTGTACATTGCTTATATCCCCTAAAATGCTGCTGTTACTGTCCTAACTGCAATCTAGTGCTTTTCTGGCTCCTGTGCCCATACAAATAGAATAAAAAGTCATATACTCACTGCAGGCTATTTTTCTTTGATCTAAGGCTGTGCCATGTATTTCCCTTGAGAATACATTTGCAAAATGCAACACCCAGTTTGCCCATGCACATCGCAATACGTACCTGTCTATGGTGTTGATATGTGTTTCTCTAGGGCTAGGATTTCTCTGAAAAATGTAGAACAGGTTCTTGCTTTTGCTGACTTCATGGTACATGTTCCAGAAAATCCCAGTCACAAGGAGTAAGAACCCCAAAGATAGCAGAGAATAAGCAAGGAAGAGATTATTCCCACACTGGCACAAAGAGGAGCCAGTAGAAATGCAAAAGGCTCCCAAGCAAATAATAGAAAAGCCAGTTAAGAGCACAACAATACGAAAAAGAGAGAAAAATGCTTTTGGCATCTTCATGGTTAAGCACAGCATCTAGTTCGTTGTCTCTCACGCTCAAACTTTCTCAGCTGTGCTTCCTGTCTGCATTCGTCAAGGTTTTATGCACTCCAGGATCAGCTGGCCTTTGGACAATTAAGAGAAGCAGGCAGTTATACGATACTCATTAACTCATTGAAGTCACCATAATATCTTTAGGGATTAATTTATAATTATAATAGTACGCAAGGAAAACAAATTCTTCCTGTGTCATTTCTTTGCCAGTATAATCGTTGAAAACCCATTGTTGCGTACTATGCTTCTCAAGGAGTTAAACATTAGGGTTTGGGTTTGAATAGAAACCACCAATCTCACCAGCTTGGGGCAGTGCTTTCCAGCTCTGTAGGCATCTTTTTTAAAAAAATAACTGTTGTTCCTAATTCTCTGTTAAAAGCTTTAAGAAAAAATGTGCATCTACTGATTATT